TTGTAAAGCAATTTTGTAATATGTATGTAAGCTAAGGTGCCGATTCTGCCGTAGAATAGACCATATTACGTAGGGGCTATGTTTCGTAGCACTTCTCATACTAAATACTGTCAAAATGCCATATATTTGCTATGTGATCTGGCATTTAAATGAAGTTGCATTTTACATATAAAATGCAACTAATAATATATATATAATTAAATTAATGTAATTACAATACTCTCATTCTACAATTTTATGCTCAAAAATGCGAATAGTATTCTATTTTTCATTTATTAAATGTTTAAAAAACAGAAATAATTAAATTGTATACTAAGTATTTGTCGATCCAACATGAAAAGAATCATGCAAACCAGAATTAAAAAAGAAAAACTATATTCTACAAGAAATTATTCACAGAGCAAAATCTTGGATCGGAATCAAATCTAAACCTTCTTTGGCATCGTTTCAAGATGTAGATGTCCACGAAGGATATATTGCACAAACTAGATAGTGGTTATGTAACATTCTTTTGGCCTTCTCCAGCGGAAACATTTATTGGCGATTTTTGAGTTATAGTTGATCAGTTTTTACGACATTTGTATATTTTCCTATGAGATTTCATACGCTTATATGGTTTACAAATGTATAATACTGAGATTGAGAGAGGCTTGGTAGACACGACGAATATTGTTTTCGGTTTCACATTTACTGTATTCACATCCCAGCAAACGTGGACGAAAAATTTTATCCGCACATACGCGCGCGCACACCCACACACACACTAACTCATCTTTTCTAAGGTATGTCAAAATATTCAGAAACCTCTGAAACGTAAAGATATTGAAAATTCTTTATTTTCGATTTTTGCACGATTAACCCTACTGAACGTCAATTAACGCGTCTCGATCTTACGTTGCAAAGAATGTCGTATTTTATTCCATATTATAATATTATACTATGGTTACTTGTAACTTTATACAAGATAAAATAAAACAAAGCGCGAATGGTTTTCCATAGTTTACACCAAGTAAATGTTGTGGATGCGAAGCATTTAAGTCTGTGCGTACATGAATGCGGCTCGTTTATACAAATCTCTTGAATTAAAAGATTAGCTTTTGAAGTGGATTTGATAAAGTGGACGGGCGTCCACAACCGCAACTAGCGGCTCTCATGAGCGTACAAAGTCAGTTTTTGGGCTTAAGAGGGGTTGCGCGGGATGCGGCCTGTCCCGGCCGTCGACCGTTGTCCGTTGTCCGATGTCCACCTCTAACGAACTCTTTGCTTGAGGTTTGGTTAATTGTTTGTCATTTAATTCTTTACGTAACTGTGGTGCTCATTCCTGTGAGTTTTGAGGTCAAATTCATATTAGCAACTACATTGATAAAATATCTTGTATCCTAAGCTTACTCATTAAATTCGTTCGTAGACAAAATCTCATTTTCGTAATTAACTTCCCGAAGGAGAAGTTTATGTTTTCATCAAAAAATCCGAATCGCTAAATTTTATGTTTTCTCGACGTTTCAAGCCATGCTGAATCGAATGAGATCAAATTTGGAAAAAGTATGTGTGTGTGTGTGTGTGTGTGTATGTGAACAGATTTTTTGTCATTGCTCTTAATTCGGATTATCAGTGAAAAATATTCAATTTGATTATATAAAATATAATAATTATTATTAATGTATCTATTTATTCATTATACCAAACGAAATTTGTCAAAACCAACACAAGACATTTAAGGGCGGATTCTGCCGAAAAATAGACTAGTATTACGTAGAAGGCTATGTTACGTAGTGCTATGGTATTAAAAATGGCATTAAATCCAGTCAAAATACCATGTGGTTACTGTGCAGTCAGGCGTTATTGTCAAATGCTCAATGTTATCATAATTGCATATTTGTGATAAAAATTTAAAAAAAATGTATTGATGCTGCAGGTCACCAATTTGAACAGTATTAACATTTGTTATTTATGTTTTATTTACATTGGACTTTCAGCTTTCTATTTTCCTGAAATTTAACTTTGTAGAACGGTAAATAAATTTTCTTTGGAACTTCAAAGTGTGTATACATTTTTTTGAAGCACCCTGTATATATATATATATATATATATATATATATCCCTTCCAAATTAAGTATTTCATTGATCTATTAAAATCTACTCATAAAATAATTTACAACTAAAACTGTAAAATCCTGACAAAAATTTAGTGGCAAAATAGAATCAAAAGTAATTGCCTAATTAACTTTTAAAGCACGTGATAGAAACTTTATAGCAAGCGGTAAACGTGAAATAATCAACTAGTGTTAAATGAGCTTTTGGTTAGAGTTTGAAAAATTTATGACAGCAAGTAATTTAATTTTTAGTATGTTCTTTTCGCAGATTAATTTGGAAATCTAGTGTGAGATCTCTAAATAATGGATTGATAAACGCTCTATATTTTTCAATTCTGTATTGAAAAGAAAACAATATTGTTCCTTAACTTTACAAAGGTTTAGATTTGGAAAACTCTTGTCCTGATTATTAATTGTTCTTAACAGATTTTTTTTATAAACTTAAAAAATCTGAAGTAAAATTATTTCAAAAAATTATTCGATTACTAAAAAGACTAATGAAATAGAGGTTTGTGGTAGGAGGGTAAAAATTTAGGAGTGTTTGTCATAAATTTTGAAAATTCTTTTAATTCAGGTATGTAATTGTTTTGGGGATTAATTAATATTTATTAACGCAGAAAAAATATTCAATATTCAAAATATCTTTGAAAATGAAATCTCATAGACCGTTTTCTATTAATCTGAAATTATCCTAATCATAAGTAATTTAATTTTAATTATCAAGAAATATTGCCACATAATTATTGCAGTAATATTAATTCAAATCAATTCAATTGCAAAAGCAATTACTGCTGGTTAACTCAAACAAAATAAATCGGTTAAATACATAATATTTATCATAAATTAGCATTAAACATTATGTGAAATTACATATGTTTACCTTTTACGTGAAATAATATAAATACCAAATACAACTATATTACCTAATTTATGTGCATAATTCGTAAAAGCTATATGTATTCCGGCGTCATTTAGTCAGTAATGGAAATAATTTAAATTTGAGATAAAACTCGCAGCAAGAATATTTTAATAAAGCTGCCCATATTGGGATAGTGTATTGAATCATGCTCAGCCTCATATTTTTTGTATCATTGTGTCTATTTATTTATTTAGACGCATCCGAACGCTAAATTAAATATGTATAAATTGTATTTGGGTGATACGGGTTATTCTGTCGAGCTAATAGTATATCGCAATGCTGGTGAATGTTTTAACATATTTTGATTGAATTCTGAAATGTACTAGCATTGAGTGTTGTGCATTTGCATAGATGCGATTAGCATGAATAGTAAATATTAGTGTAATCATTTGCATTACTAATATAATGAATAGCAGTTTACTAAATATGTTAATAAAAGGAGTTAATAAAATTAAAATATGTTAATAACTCTTTTTGATCATAATGTTATAATAAAAATGAAAATTTGACACCTGTACTTCTTTAGAATAAAATGATCTTGCTTAGTACATAAACAAAACAATAAGATTTGATTTGTTTAATGCTAAATGTTGAACAGTCTTCAAACTTTTTTCTGCAACAAAATTTTATTCGATTTTAAAATAACTTTCTACTATAAGAACTATCAGTTCTAAAATATTATTATATGTTTAGAAAAAAATATTGGAAGAAAGCTTTACATAAAAAGTGAAGTTTATTTCTTATATGTGAAGTATTGTGGTATATGGATATTATTACTAACTTATTAAGAAATACATAAGTGCTGTTAATTGCCGTGTCTATCATATGTGTCTGCAATATGAAGGTCTACAAGGGTCTACGAAGGTCTACATGAACCATATCAGACGAATATATGCCTGACATTCGCAATTTCTGGTTTGCAGAAAAAAGGAAAAAAGTTTTAATATAAAGACATGTCAGTCATATATGTGTGACATAAAAATAGT